AGGGGCCAAGGTGCACGTGGCCACCATGACTGGTGAGTGACGGTGCCTAACGAGTAACAGTACATAACACGTAGCAATGTGTAGCCAGTAACAGTGCCTAATGAGCACCGGTGCAAAGTGAGTACCAGTGCCTAACGAGCAGCAGCACCTAATGAGCGATGGTGCCTAATGAGCGAGGCTGTGTGAGGAGTAACGGTGGGTCTCCCTGCGGGTGCAGGCTCCAGGACGAGGTGACCCTGCGGCTGGAGGCCGAGAGCACCCTGGCTGCCTACAGGCAGGTGAGGGCAGGGGCCGAATCCTGCCCCCCAGCCCCGGGGAGCGGGGCAGGGGCGAGGGGTGGGCTGGGGCAGGCTGCATGGGGCAGGGACCAGCTGGGACATTCAGGATGGGCAGGGGACAGGCAGAGATGGGCAGGGGACGGTCTGGGACGCGCAGAGACAAGCAGGACTGGGCTGGGGAGGGCAGGGGACAGGCAGGGCAAGAGGCAAGGGTGGGCAGGGATGGCCTGGGACACTCAGGGACAGGCAGGGATGGTCTGGGGTGCTCAGGCATGGACTGGGAAGGGCAGGGATGGTCTGTGACACTTGGGGACAGGCAGGGACAGGCAAGGCTAGAGGCAGGGAGGGCAGGGACAGCCTGGGACACTCGGGGATGGGCCGGGACAGGCAGGGATGGTCCGTGACACTTGGGAACAGGCAGGACTGGGCAGGAGGGAGCCAGTAGGTGCTGGGCTGGGCTGGGGCAGGGCCATTGCTGGGACAGGCAGGATCAGGCCAGGATCCTCAGGGCCAGCTCAGCAGGGACAGGTGAGGCATCACACTGTCTCTCCTCTTCCTCCCTCCTGCGGCAGGACGTCGACGCTGCCGCATTGGCTCGCCTGGACCTGGAGCGCAGGGTCGGCTCCCTGCAGGAGGAGATCACCTTCCTGAGGAAGGTCCACGATGAGGTAGTGCCATGGCCAGGCAGCATGCGGGGCCAGGGGCGGAGCGGGGACACTGAGGCTGACGCCTGTGGGTACCTCGGCAGGAGCTGCGGGAGCTGCAGGAGCAGCTGGCCCAGCACCAGGTGCACATTGAGATGGATGTGAGCAAGCCAGACCTGACGGCGGCCCTGCGGGAGATCCGCACGCAGTACGAGACCATGGCTGCCAGCAACATGCAGGAGACCGAGGAGTGGTACAAGTCCAAGGTACAAGGGGGCACCCCTCTGGGACGATGCCACTGCCAGCCGGGGCCAGCCCAAGGTGCAGCTGATGATGCCCCAGTGCTACTCCAGCGTGGTGGCACCCAGGACCTGGCTGTCACCACCCTGGGGACGTCACCTTCTCAGGGCTGGGTTCAACCCTGGGTCTGGACAACTCTGCAGCATGTGTGGATCAAGTGTCCCTGCTGTCCCCGCTTGTGTCCCATACCCTCTTTTGGTTCCCATGCCCTCCCATGGGGAGCAAGAATGTCCCCTTGATGGTCAGTCCTGTGTGTGCTGTCCCTAAAGAGCTGTGACCCCAACAGCATGTCACACATGCACCATCCCATCGACCCCTGGGAGCAGGCTCATGTTCCCAGTGCCACGTGCCATCAGGGTGTCATCCTCTCACACCATCCCTCCCTCCTGTGGGAGGAGCCATATTCCCAGCAGAGCATAGTCCCTGCCATCGGGACCATGTCCCATGTGCACAGCCTCTTCCTCCCACGGGAGCAGGATCATGTCCTAGTGTCACATACCATCGGGACCGCGTCCCTCCCACGGGAGCAGAGATGTATCCCCAGTGACGCATGCCACTGGGAACATGTCCCATGTGCACTGTCCCTTCCTTCTCTGGGAGCAGGGACATGTCCCCACAACACGTGCCATCAGGGCAGCATCCCTCCTGCGGGAGCAGGGACGTCGGAGCACAGTCCCCAGCACCATCCCTTGCTCCAGCAGCCCCCAACCCATGACCTATACCTGCCCAGTTTGCAGACCTGACGGATGCGGCAGCCCGGCACGCGGAGGCCCTGCGCCTGGCCAAGCAGGAGGCCAATGACTACAGGCGCCAGCTCCAGGCCCTCACCTGTGACCTGGAGGCTCTGCGGGGCTCGGTAGGTGCTGGCTGCAGGAGGTGCCCAAGTTTAAGGATGAAGGTGAGGGTAGAAGGCATCATGGCCCCCCTCTTCACCCCAGAACGAATCCCTGGAGAGGCAGCTGCGGGAGATGGAGGACCGCTATGCCCTGGAGACGGCTGGCTACCAGGACACGGTCATGCGGCTGGAGGAGGACATCCGCAGCCTCAAGGAGGAGATGGCGCGGCACCTGCAGGAGTACCAGGACCTGCTCAACGTCAAGCTGGCCCTGGACATTGAGATCGCCACATACCGCAAGCTGCTGGAGGGCGAGGAGAGCAGGTGAAGGCACAGTGGGGCCCATTCCCAGTCAGATACCAATCTCTCCCTTCTCCCAGCCGTGCCTCAAAACAGCCCCAAGCCCTCATGGTCCCTCCAGGGCATCCATCCCTTCTGGGGACTGTTCTCCACCCCTCCTGCCCCAGTCCTGGTGGATGCATCTGGGGTGCTGGGGGCTGCCATCCCGCAGCCCCTGTCTGCGCGCCTTGCTAATGCCTCCCCATCGCTCCCACAGGATTACCATCCCCGTGCAGACCTTCTCCAACCTGCAGATCCGAGGTGAAGCCGCTTGCTGGGATGGAGCGGGGGGTCCACGATCTGCGGTGGTGGGCCGGATGGGATACTGACGTGAGCAGGAAGGCTAGGAACACCTGGGGTCTCCATGGAAGGGAACAAACACATTGTCGCTCCCTCCCTGGCCAGTCCAAAGGGACTGGGAGATTTTCCTTCGAATCCCAAGGAACCGGGACTCCTGGGTCCTGTCCCTGGCATTGACCTGCTGTCAGGTCTCTGTGCCAAGGTGTGTGTGGGGGTCCATTTATGGCCTCCCATGGTGGGAGGTGAGGAGTGTGCCATGGCCGCGTCCCCAGGGCCAACTGTGTCCCCAAGGCCAACCATCTCCCTTAGGCCATCCTAACCACCCCATGGTTTGGGGTTTCCCAGCCTGACCTGGTCCCTTTGGGCCACTCTGCTTGAGCACTGGTGGAGGGTCTATGGCCGGGGCATGGGGGTCATCACCTTGTCCTGCCTCTGTCCCCTAGAGACCAGCCTGGACACTAAATCTGTGTCGGAAGCTCACCTGAAGAGGAGCATTGTGGTCAAAACTGTGGAGACCAGAGATGGAGAGGTGGGAAATCCTTCTCTGTGCCTCCCATGTGGCTTCCCCTCTGTCCCCACCACCCTGTAGTGTCCCCTGTGTCCCCGACAGGGTGACTGGTCACACACCTTGTGCCACCATCCCTCAGCCCCAGGAACAGCCTGGGCAGGGAGCTGGCTCTGGACCATGATGGAGCCTGAGTCTGGCAGCTCACAGAGTGATCCTATCCCAGTCCCCGTTCCCGAGCCTGCTCAGAGCCCAGGAGGGCTCACCCGGGGAGGAGAGCCTGAACCCAGGGTGATGGTCCTCTCCCTCTGCCTCCAGGTGATCAAGGAGTCCAAGCAGGAGCACAAGGAGGTGGCATAGGCTGGGGAAGATGCAGGCGCACGCTAGCAGCAGATGCATGCTTGTAGCTGTAGCTCTGTAGGTCCTGGCTGCTGTCCTGCGCCCAGCTGCTGCAAGGGAGCCCTGTGGCCGGGCATGGGTCGTTGCCTCCACAGCCCGACTGGAGGAGCTGGCATCTGAGATGTGGTTGTGCTTTGTCCAGGACATCTCTCCCTGGGCCACGGGGACCCCACTGACGTGCGCTCCCCACGCAGGGGGCCGGCAAAGCACCCTGGCTGGCCAGGCACTGTGCAGGGAGGATACTGGCGTTATGGGGCAGAGGCAAGTGGTACCCAGGCAGAGCCAAGCTCTTCTCCTGGGATGCTGTCATGTTTCCACGGCATGGAGGGGCCAGGATTTTGGAGGAGCGGGGTTTTGGAGGGGCTGTGCCAGCATTTGCCTTGGGTATCTGGTTTGGCTGATGTCCAGGGAGGGAGCATGTCCTGTTTCGGTCTCTATGCACTCAACAAGCAAGATGATGGGAGAAAGAGCATCTCTCCCTGCATCCCGCCTTGCTGCCCACCTCTGCTCTGGGAGGCCACCCCCAGTCTCCTCGCTGTGTCCAGGCCCTGAGCATCATGGGGCGGGGGGTTGAGGAGATGAGGTATCAGCTGGCGAGGGACCTTTCCCCATCACTGAACATCAAGCTTAGCTGAGAAGAGAAAGGGGATGATGGAGCTGCACAGGGGACACATGGTGCTGTCAGGATGCTGCAAAGTGACAATGAAATTGGGAGGGGGCTGGGGGACTGGGGACTCTGGGTTGTCAAGGGTGGTTCGAGGATCTGGAATCATGATGGGCATGGCCACGGGGGGCACAATGGGATGGGGTGGCTGCGGTGGCATTCTGTAGCATGGAGCTGCATAATCCCAGTGGAGTGGCCACCACCAAGATGCCCCCATCACCATGATGGGAAAAATAGTCCCCAGGGGCTGATGGGAAGTGATCATGCAGCACCATGTGCCTGGCCCCTCGCTGCGGGGGTTCGTGCAGGTGCAAATGAAGAGGAGGAAAGTGAAAGGCAGAGAAAGGAGGATGAGGAAGAGGAGGAGGAGGGTGTCTGGGCACTAGTGGATGCTCTCATCTGGGTCCCTGAGACCCGCATTGAAGGTGACTTCTTCCTACAAAGCCTTGGAGCTGGCCAAACTGCCGAACGGGTGCAGGGAAGAGGGATGCAAGGTCTGAGCCGGGCTGGGGCGCTCAGCGCTCTCCCCAGTGTCCTGGCCCCTGCGCTCCTGCCACAAGCTGGCTCTCAGGAGCAGGAGGTGCTGGAGGAGGAAAGCTGGAGCCATCTTCATCTTATCCCATCTGGGCTTGCAGTACAAGTCCCACTGTCGCCATCTCACCGTGGCGAGCCAGGGGATAGGGACCTAGCTCTGCATGAGCTGCAATCCCTTTCGTGTGCAGAGCCCTGAGCCCAGCTCCCCACGCAGGTGCACAAAACAGGACTGGGAAGAAATCCCTTGTCCCTGGGGCTTGTGTGGCCCTGTCCTCCCCCCATCCTTGCTCCCCCTATCTGCACCAGCACACACCACTGGCCCATCCAGGGCTGCAGCCCAGCCCAGAGCAGCTCTGCAGGGTGCCAGGGCTCACTGGCAGCCCTCCATCCCCTCCTCAGATTTAGCTACTGATTGCAAGCAAAACCTGCCCTGCTTTTCAGCTACGCTGCCTGAGCCACCTAATGTAGAAGCAATGACCCAGCGGTGCTCCCCTTACCCTGTAAGCCCCTAGCAATGAGCACATGGGATGCTATTAGGATGCCATCCTGCTTGTCCCTCTTGTCCTGCAGCTCAGGCACTGAGCGTGCTTTGCAGATACTAATCCCGGGAGGCTCATGCCTGGATGCAAGCTATGTTACTGGGGGAGACCTAGGTCCTGCCTGGGTTTGGCATCTGGGGTCAGCCTCACTTAAGGGTGTCCTGCAAGTGCCCTGCGGGCACTACTCACTGTCATGGGGTCCCCACAATGGCCAGCCCCGTGGTCAGGCCGGGGACCACCCCAGGCGAGGGTGCCAAGCCGGTCCTCTGTGTCCTGCATCCTGGGATGATCCAGGCTGCACACAAGCAGCCTCTGGCTGGAGCGTTTGCAGTCTATGTTGCTACTGAAGCAATGTACTAATGTCCGTGGCAGCATGACATGAGAAATAAAGCTAACGCAAGTGCTGTGCTTCGATGGTTGTGCCTGCAGTCTGCCTCTCCATGCCAGCCCCTGACCCATTAGCAGGAACAGCAGCCAGAGCTGTTGTTTATTTGGGATTAGCAAGGACTGTGAAGTCCTTTGAGAGCCCAAGCCCGCTGCCAGCAAGGTTACTCACCAGGGGACTCGCCTGAACCCCAAGACATGGCCAATGTGCTTGGCTGTTCATGGCAACCATGTGAAGGCCCATAAGGGATTGCAATGGGGGAGGCAGGTGCAGGAATAAGTAGCCTGAAGCTGGCAGCCAGGCAGCAGAGTGGGAGGGATCCCCTTCCCAGGAGAGAGCAAAAGCAGCGATATGGGGTCTTCAGCACCCCCCCCCCCCAAACCAGCTCCTTCCCTGTATGAGCCAAGACTGCCACATTTGGGAGGCTCCTGCGACCCACTGTAGCTGTCAGGACTGATGGTTAATTTGCAAGATCCCACCAAGGGCCAGCAAGGAAAGGTTGTATTTGCAAATAGCAGGAAAATGCTGCAGGTTAGTGGGCATCAGAGAGGGACACGAGGACTTTGGGAGCCCAAGACCAGCCCTGAGTGGGAAGGACATCAGCCAGGGCACGCAGCTGGATATATTTGCTGGCAGAGGATGCTGCAAGATCTTACATGTTGTCTATGCAGTGCACGTGCCTTCCTTTGGAACAGTGCTTGGGGCTGGTACGAACGAGAGGACACTGGGCAACAAGAGAGCCCCCCCCCTCCCCAAAAGATGCCAACCTCTGTCGAGGACGTCTTTCGTCATAAATAAATGTTGACTTACAGAAATCCAAAGAGCTCATAGACTCACGGTGAGTTCACAAAAAAAAAATGAGGGAAATTTCTGAAGAAATACATTGGTTTTGTTTTAAAATTTCTTTTTCTTTTTCTTTCAAAAAGGAAAAAAAGTTAAAAAGCATCAAAATTTTTGAAAACAGTTTTTCTCCGGCTAAAATGCTTAAAAGAAGTTTTGAAACTTGGACACTCAAAGTTTTCAGCAAAGGCAAAATGTATAAAAAAAAAAAAAGTAAGAAAAATAAGAAAGAATAAGTCAGAATAAAGTATTTTGGTGGGTCTTTATATAGCAGCCTGTTAACAAACAAAATAGCTCTGAAGAATCACTGATGTGGTTCAACAACCGTGTAATGCTTGGCCAGAAAATACTACAACAACTCAAAATATTCTCTTTAAAAGGACTATATTGGGTTTAAAATCACACTGCAAGCTAACAGCATGACCAAGAGCGGACCCCAGCACTCCTAAATCCCAGCCTGTCCCTTCCAAGCCACAACACCCTGGAGCATGGCAAGTTTTCAGCTTCGGTCCTCATGTTCTGTTCTTGACTCAAAAGGGAGCGAGTGAGCAGGTAGCATTTTGCTCACATTTATTTCTAACCTGGCTTAGGATGCTTCCCAGCAGCCCAAGGGAGAACGGTCCAAGTCCTAACAGTGATGAGACTAATTCTCTGAGGCCATAGAGGAGACGCTATGTCCTGGGAGGACACCAAAAGAGCCGCCTGCAGCAGCGGCACAGGTGGATGCCGAAGAAGATAGTGGTGATGAGGACGTAGCTTGTGAGGATGATCTTGATGGCATACATCGTCTCAGGATCATCGAGCGTCCTCTTGCGCTGGCTCTGGTAGCTGACGCTGAGCCGGAAGCCGGCCACCAGCTCACCCTCTCGCCAGCAGTAGTAGGTGCCTCTGTCGCTGAGCCGGACACGGAGGATGTGCAGGTGATTGCCGTGGTCAATGAATATGCGCATGCTCCTGTTGATGCCGAGGAGGTAGTGGGAGCGGTACAGCCGAATGGAGCCTTTGTCCCAGGCCACGGCATGCTCGGGCCTGGCCCTTGGGCAGGCAATGACCAGCCTGCTTCCAGCAGGGTGTGTGTGGAGCTGCGTGGGGATGGAGGGCTGCCAGGGCTTTTGGCCGAGCTTTGAAATGATGTTGGAGATGGCCTGCACTCCTTCCTTGGGGACCTCCTCCTTCAGGCAAGGTGCCAGGCAGCTTCGGATGACCACTTCTGGCCTCCGGAGTTGGCCAGGGTGGTGAAAACGCACAGGGACAGCCTTCGAGCCACATGATGTCACGTTGGGCACCGCGGTGCGGTACCGGGGGTGCAGCTGGGCGCTCCTCACGTAGCAGAGACCGATTCGTCGTTGCTCACCTCTCACTCCACAGCGGTCGCATTTGGTCCAGTCCCAGAAAGTGGTGAAGAGGCTGAAGACCTTCTCAGTGTAATCCTCTTGAGCATGCTGGCCTCTGTCCACAAAAGCCACTGTAATGTGCTTGGTTGGCTGCACGTCCACGTCGTAGCCATAAAAGAAGTCCCCTTTCTTTGTGCCACACAGGTAGAGGCCTGAGTCCCCTGCCTGGGCCCGGAAGACGATGAGACTGAACATGCGGATACTGAAACGCTTCAGCACATCACTGCCCACGTGGATATGGCCTGAGTCCACAACCATGGTGCCAGCAAAGTCCGTCAGGACCGTGGTGTGGTGGCTGCCCTCATCTTTCTGGAAGTACCAGACTACAGAATTGACCTCTTCTGGCTTGCAGTTGCAAGGGAGCTCGAAGGTCATGTCAGCCAAGTAGGCGGCATTCTCAAACAGCAGGAAAGCAGGACAAGCCGTTCTTTTGAATACATCGTCTTTCTCCTCAATTGCAAAGGCGTGGAGGACATCTGCTACACAGAGGAGAACGGTGACTCCCAGCAACCTCACCTCCATTGTGCCCACTGGGTTGCTGCAGTCAGCACAACGAAACCAGTGGTCGTGTCCTCAGCAAAGACGGCCAAAATCTGAGCATGAGGTTAACGGAGCAGCAGCACTGGGGCAGGGAAGGTGTGCCCACAACAGGTTGTTTGACCAAGATGGGGTTTGTAAGCGACTTTGGCAGCTGAAGCCCCCACCCGCAGTGTATTTGGCTGGCACAAGGATCAAAGAGCAGCAGAAAGATCTTGTCCCATCTTAATAGTTGCTGAGAAGCATTTACAAGTGTGTTCTGTTCTAGCAGAGCACTTTTGTCCCTCACTGGGGCAATGCTGTCCCTGGGGCACCCAGGACACAGACTCTAGAACCCTTATTTTCTCTCTCACGTCCATTCTAGAGCGTGTGCACCCCCAGAATGCGCTCAGACCCCACACGGCTCTTTTCAGCACAGTGCGCGTTACACACTACCTACCTTGCCATTGCCAAAAGGCCGCCACTGCTGCAACGGAGGCCAACGAGCAGGTGGATCGTTTGAGCAGTACAACTGTAGAGGGAAGATGGGGACCCAGCGTGGTGGAAACAAGGCTTACACTGTTCAGATTTTCTTGAAAGATACACGTGCAAGAAATGGTAAGGATTTCACTTATTCCTCTGCGCGCAATGAACACAGAGAAGAACCTGTTCCAACTGCAGCTCCTCTCTGTAGCACAAAACAAAGGGTTTCAAACGTGATATTTAGACTTCTACATCCTCCCTGTTGGTTTTCCAAGTGCTTGTGTGCTGAAGCCCCTCAACACAGGTAATGGTGGAGACTGTCCCTAATTTGAGTGATCAAGTGAGGCTTGCCATTCACATCGCCTTTGCTTGGGCTAATGCTGGCACCAGCCCTGGAGGCCTTAAACGCATCTCTCTTACGGTAAAGGTAAGCTATTTGCTCCCCACTGAGCTTGGCCAGACCTTTAACTCAACTTTTGCACTTCTTGAGCAAATGCTCAGATCAGACCATGAACTGACCACTGGGGAAACTGATCCCAGCTGGTATAACAGCCCTTCCTCCTGATAACATTCATGTAACCTTTCCTTTGAGGAGGAGTTCAGCGCTTGCCAGCATTTCATTTATCCTGAGTCTTCCCACCCGACAACAGGGATTTTGCTTTCCCCAAATGATGGGGATGAAGCAGGCTGCTCCCGTCCTCCAGATGAGACATGAATACAAGCACCGAGTCTTGGGACCTGCTGAAAACACTGCGGCAGTTCCCGCCAGATCCTAAACCACAGCTAGCTCACACAGTCATGCAGGGGCTGTTCCAGCACAGAATGGGTAACCACGAGGACCCCTTGAAAGGATGATGCTGAACTCTTCTTGTCATACGTGGCCACTGGAGAAAGAGCCGTTGCTCGCTGCCAATGTAAACCCCTCATACTTTGACCACCATCTTAGGAAGAAAAAGACCTGACTGGGCTGTTGAAGCCCTCCGAGATTTCAACCCAACTCCCACAACCTGGGAGGAAAAAGGAATTATCCTAACAGCCAGTTTACACATTAGTAAGCAGGAGAAAAGGCTCAGGGGTAGAGTAAGAAAGGTAGGAAAAGTACTGACACATCATCCGGAAACCAATGCACTGCAATCACAAAAGTGTCCTGGGTTAAGAGCGCAGACAATAACTCTGCACCTCAGGAGTAGGCTGCTTAGCCATGGAAGGGGAGCCCTGGGTTCCCATGCCTTCTTTCAGGATTATTTTGTGATTGATTGATGTAAATAGCAGAAACAACCGTGACAGAAGAACCCATTTCTTCCCACCACAGAGAGCACCCCCAGCAGTCTCTCCTTAACTTCAACATGGACCTTTGCAGAGCCTGAATGTTAGGATAGTGAAGCTCTGGGTCTGAGCCACCTCTGTCCGGCAAGAACAAGAACCACAATCTCCCACAGCCCTGTGTGTTGCCTGTGTGTTGTCAGCTGGGGCAACTCTAGCTTCTGCTCCTCCAGCTGGATTTCTGAATGAAACAAACCTGGCAGTTGTTTCTGAACTGAATTCAAGGGAGTCTGAGCAGTTTAATATACATCAGGCTCCTCAGCTCTTCCCAGATCTTCCCAGACCAGACCTGCAAGGGAGCTTGATGGGTAGGTGCTGCGCTGTGCCATTCGAGAGTCTTTCTGAATACTTTGAGACACCTGGGAAGTTAACAGCCAAAACAGAAAAGGATACTCAACTTAGACACAATATTAGGTAGTGTTGGAGAGTCTCTTGCTTGGATTGATGCCTGTCAGCTCCATCTAAATTTCAGTTTATATGCAATTTAGGCAAACCAGATTGTGCCTGAGATTTTCCTTCCCTCAGTTGTTTTCCTCATCTAAGAGATTCTCACAGAGTCATTCTGTGAGGACACTCTGCCCCAGAGATCACAACACAGTCCTCTCTGTAACTAACCTTTATTTGTGCAGAGCTATTGCTCTGGGTGAATCCCAGATACAGAGGGAAATGCAACCAGCAACGCTCCAAACACTTCATTTGCCTACGTCTCTGTCACAGTGTCTGATGACAAAGCCAAGCCCTTCTGCACTCTGTTCCTGCATGACTGTTTTGCTTCTGTTGCTTCAGCCAACTTGATAACGTTTCATCAGCTCCATCAGTATCTTTTCCTCAGCTTCCTTTTGCAAACTGGTGCTCGTGAGGTGGGCTTCTCTCTCTGCTTTGCAGTCAGCTGTGCCACTGAGACGGCCAGTGGTCCAGTAATTTCTGTTCATGCTCTGCAGCTTCCTAAACAAATCTCTGCTGCTCTCCTTCTCTGACTCACTGAGAAGATCCACATTCAACCCAAAGCGCTTGGTGTTGGAAAGGCTTTGTAAGATCTGCAGGATGGCATCTCCGTCTTCATGACAGATGTTCTCTGCCAGCACAGTAAGGAATTCACCCAGGAGGCCAAACCCCAGGTCAGCCTGAAAGATTCTGCCCAAGGCCTTGCCTTCAAGTTTAAGCAAAAGCTGGTATTTTTCTTTTCCGCTTGTTAAGCATCTGCGCCAATCTCTGTAAAATTCAGCAGAGGTTCCAGGCAGTTGATCTAGTTCCTGCAGGAAAAAACTGTTTTGTTCCCACTTGAAAATTTTTATCCCCCCTTACCAATCCATGGGTGTCTGACAGACACTTTTAATACAGACTTTAATAGCATAAAGAGGTGCATAAAGCTACTGAGGTGGCAAAGTATGCAGGAAGATAAACAAATATCAGGTTAGACAAGCCCAGAGGAAACCAGAGAACTTCAGAGGGAAAGAACAGAAGAATGGGTGAGACATGAAACAAAGTGTGGAAGATAAGTAGTGGAGTAACCCTAAACCTAGTCAGAACTACTCAGATGCACTGCTGAGCCTGGATCCACTGTAACTGCTCAGGAAGGGATCTGCTGGAGATTGTGGTACTTAGTGAAAACCTCTGCTCCATCTCAAGCACCATGAAGCAAATCAAAGGGACGAGGAGATAAAAGATATGGGATGTAAAACCCAGAAACTGTTCTGATGCCCCTAGCACGCCCTTTCCTTACATACTGCATTCCTACGGGCCTGTGGTAATGTGCTTGGACTAAAAGAAAGAGACATGCTCAATGTGGCATCTCCAGATAAAAGGAAGTCTTTTTTATCCAACATGTAATCAGATTGCTGAACTCATCACTGCCAACTTAACTCAAGCGCAGATTGAAGTAGGATTAAAATGTTTAGGCTTTTATACAGCTAGTGAAAACAAGCCACAGCAATAACAGGCTGTGTTTAAATACAAAATGTAGATGCCCTGGAGATCAGAGCCCAAGCACTAATGAGATTAGGAACAGAATTTCCTCTAGGAGGATCACTGTTCAGTGCAGCCAAATCTAAAGCTGCCTGGAAGAGTTGCAGAAGGATCTCATAATAACAGGCAAATGAGATTCACTGTCAAAAAATTCATGAGATGCTTGTGAGAAGCATCCACGGGAAATATCTCTAGCTACATGTTCAGGGATAGACTCTATTGCAGCTCCCATCCTGCAAGAAATTATCCCTGTCACTGTGTCACTGGGCCAGTAAAAGTCATCATGGATAGTCTTCTGAAAACATCAGCTTATGCTCAGCAGCAGTCAAACTGGCAAAGCCAGTGTGGGGAGTTAGTAGGAAAGCAACTGAAAATAAAACAGAATGATTGCTTTGTGATTGTATAAATCCACAGGGTACCCATACCTTGAATACTGCCTGCAGTTTGCCTACCCTTTTGCACAAAAATAAGCTAGCACTGGCAAAGAGAAGGGCAACAAGGGTGGTTGGAGGTACAAAATGCTTTCTATATCAGAAAGCATTAAACTGACCAGGACTTTTCAGCTTGGACAGAGTCCACTGAAGGGGGTAGGACAGGTGTCAGTTAAATCACAAATGACCGGGACAGGAAATGTTTATTTACTATTTCCCACAACTGAAGAACTAAGGAGCATCCCAGGAACTCATCAGGAAGTAGGTTTAAAACAAACAAAATAGTACTTTTTCACAGCATGCATAATTACACTGTGAGGTGAAAAGGGACAGGCCATATCACAGAAGATATATCATCTGTGGCTATTAAATGTGACAATCCTCATGCACAGACTGGCTCTCAGTCTCTAAACTGCAGCCAGCTGGAAGAGTATGGACAAGGGAGGGCACTCTTCCCCAAGAATCTGTTACTGGCCAGCATCAGAGGTGGGATATTGGGAGCTCTCCTCTGACACTGTACAGCTGGTCCTAGATTGCCAAACGGTTGAAATAGCCTCTTCTTGAAGCAGCTGGTGCAAGTCCTTGTCAGACACAAAATAGGGGCCAAGACTGAACCCTGAAGTTATCTAATTCCAGTATTTCTGGGGATTTTGAGGGCTTGTTCCCAGGTAGAAATATTTTTGAATAACTCTTGCACTTTAAAATAATACCCCACATTATTCCGGAGTAATTTTTAGATGTGGACAAAGTCCCAGAAAATGTCTCCTTCACCTGGGCTATTTCCACGTTGCTGACTTGCTCTCCTTTAGTGTGGGTTGCACAAGGATTCCACAGCAGGTTTCTTTGCTTACCCATTTTGTCCTTTTTCTCTAGAGGCTTCAAGTGTGATGCCAGCACGATATCCCTGCAGGCAACAGAAGAGGAATGGGATATTTAGCAAGATCAAATGCTTCCAGGCTTTGAGTCTCTTCTGCAGTGCCTGCTGTGAGGCTGGCAATTTCTGAGTTTGTGGCATGATACATATCAAACAAGATCTGGATTCAAATCAGATCATGAAGCATCATTGATGGATCAGAGGAAGAGAGAGGATATCGCATGGGGCACCTGGCAGGTACATCTTGCTCACATACTCAGTATTAACCTAATCATCAGGATCAACTAAGCAGGAATTTCCCCATAGGCTGGACTGCTCTAGAGCACTACGATGGTACCTCCCCAGCATGGGGAACAGGAGCTGGGCATTTCTGACATTTTTACCTTGCCAGAGCCAGGGCCCAAAGAAATGGCAGGACACTTTTGTCCTGCCCTTTTCTTACGGTACACTGAAGATTTTGTCACTTTTAGGCTTTCACGGGAAAGGTCCTAATTTTCTACAGCGCCTAGGGATTGTTTTGTAGTTTGCAGAGTGCTGGACTGGTTATGTTTTTGTGGATTCATTTGAATTCAGTGTCTTATTACACTGATGTCTATGACCACACCAGCCCGGACTCAATGCCTCATGTGGTTCCTTTTGTTTCATGGGATGAACCTCTGTCTCTAGTTAGGCCTCACAATAATTAGCTGGAGGAGATCTTTTGAGCAGTCCCTGCTACTATGCTAGTGAGCCTCTCTAGTAAAGGCACAGCACCCACAGATAGAAGCTGTTCTGTTACCTCCCTCAGATTACTTCTATCTTTAATAATACAGCTGCATTGCAGATTTTGTGGACAGAGTAGGAATGCAGGGTTTTTTTTCCCTATACTTTAACCAACGAATACTACACTGATAGAACTCTGCAGCATAGAAACATGTTCACAGGAACCCTTTTATAGGGACCAGAAGACAGAAGAGAAAATACCATTTCAAAATTTTCCTTCCCTTTCACAGATCTGATAGCATGACTGAATGCATGTGGAGGTGAGACCATGAATGCAATTTGCTCTAGTCATGGATCAGTCTATCAAGGGTGCTCAAGTTCCTGGATCCATCTACAGATCTGGCTGTGGATATCAGTGGGCGAGAACTCAGTGGGGATCAGCTACAGTTGGGGTGGCAATTGGAGCATTCTGTGCTGCCTGCCTCCAAGGAGCTTGCCTGCCATCCCAGGACCATGTTTCAACCCTGCTCAGAGCTCTGGCTGCGTGATGATGACTTTGGGAGCAAGAATACCCTGAGTGGGGTGCTGGGGACCATGTATCACCTTGTCCCTCTGTACTGCCATCACTGCGTGGGGCTGAGAGAGCCTGAGGGGAGGAAGGAGGTCAGGACAAAAACAGTTGGGTGACCACATTAGTGTATAGTGAGCTTAGGCCTGTCTCTAAGAGGTCTCAGAATTAATCACCATCACTCATGGGGTTGTGCTGGCTCTGTGTCAGGAATATCGAGAGCCAAGCACTGGGCACTGGCGAGTTAGAAAAGTGACACTGACCCGCTCAATCCTAATCCCTCTAAACTCGAGGGAATACAGCAGAGGAAGTTAACAGATCTCTGCAGGACATGAAATAAAACAAAACTTCCCTTGAAGAAGGACTTCTGTACTGCGAGGACAGCTTTCGGCAGACCTGAACTCCTCGTAAGATGCCACTTTCTGGTGCACGGCCCGGAACTTGGCGCTGTTTTCCCTCTCATACTTCTCGTCGGCAGCCACGGCTGCTCGCAGCTCTTTCTCCAGAGCGCTGAAGTCGATCGCGCCGTCTGCCTCCATTGTGCACCTAGGAGCAACGGAGAGCGTGGGCCCAGGCTGCCGAGGCGATGGTGGTGGAGCAGCCCCCTGGGCAGGGGGCCAGCACCCGCG